GCCCGCTCCGGGTCGCAGGTGCGCGGGCACCACCTCGCCGCCGGCCTAATCCCCAGCCCTTGCCTTCTGCTCGAAGTGGATGGTGCCCTGCACCTTCCCATCGCCCTTCAACACACACACGGCCTTGGTCGTCATGACTCGGCGGGGCGCGCTCCGGTCGGGGACCCGAGGCCTAGGACAGCGAGAGTCTCCGCAGGAGACGCCGACGCAAAGACGACGGCCCCGCGGAGCTTTTATAGGCCGGTCCTCCGCGCTTCGCCCCCGGCCCGAACCAATCGCCGCCCGCGCGCTCAGCCCGCCCCCACGGAAGCCGGGGACGCGAGTGGCCCGGAGCGACTAGGGGCGGGGCCAAGGGCCGCGTGGGGTTCCTCGTTGTCCGCACCGCGGGCTCCCTCCGCCCTGCGGCTGTAAAACGTCCAGAAACCTGCAACTGTGAGAAAAAAAGAAAATCCTTTCTCTTCCTAGCGTTGTAATCTGTGGCTTGCAGTTCGAGCAACTGGGAAAATGAGGCATGCGGGGCACACTTGGAGACCTCAAATCATTTTGGGAACGTTATTAGTTATAACTGACCTTGGTTTTGTGTTGTCTCATTTGTTGTTTAGAAATTAGAGTGAAGCTCTTCCTGGGGACATTGTGGGCTTCAATGTCAAGAATGTGTCAGTCAGAAATGTTTGTCGTGACAGTGTGGCTGGTGACGCAGAAATGACCCACCAATGGAAGCAGATGGCTTCACAGCTCAGGTGATTAGCCTGAACCATCCAGATCAGTGCCAGCTATGCACCTATGCTAGCTTGTCACACAGCTCACTTTGCACGCACATTTGCTGAGCTGAAGGAGATTGTTCTGGGAAAAAGCTGGAAGATGGCCTGAAGTCTTTGAAATCTGGTGATGCCGCCGTCAATATGGTTCCTGCCAAGTCCATATGAGTAGAAAGCTTATTTGACTATCCTCCTGTGGGCCGTTTTGCTGTTCGTTACATGAGACAGTTGCTGTGGGTGTCATAAAAGCAGTGGACAAGAAGGCAGCTGGAGCTGGCAAGGTCAACAAGTCTGCCCAGAAAACTCGGCAAATTAAACGAATGTTATCCCCAATACCCGCCACCCCAGTCTTAATCACTGGTGGAAGAAGGGTGCCAGAACTGTTTGTCTCAACTGGCCATTTAAGTTTATTAGTAAAAGACTGGTTAATGATTACAATGCATGGTAAAACCTTCAGAAGAAAAGGAAAATGTTTTGTGGACCATTTGGGGTTTTTGTGGGGGTGCGTGTGTACACACATGTGTGTGCATGGCAGATTTTAAGTTATTAGTTTTTAAAATCAGTACTTTTTAATGGAAACGACTTGACCAAAAATCTGTGACAAAATTTTGAGACCTATTAAAACAAAGTCTAATGAGAAAACTTTGTCTTTGGGCCAACACTGTAACTTCCTATACTACTACTTAGGTAAGAGACTTCAAAGAGTTGCTCATGACCTATTTTGATATTACATCTGCTGAAACTTTGGAATTTGATGATTCTGGGTTCACTTTTTTCCCTAGGTGGGAACTTAGGTTGTTTTCACCTTGTCTTAAGGGGAGGGATCATCTGTTTACATCGTAAAAAGCTTTGGGGAGAGGGGTCTGTTGATGCAGTACTTCATAGGTCAGGACGGATGAGCAAAGAGTAACTTTACATGTGAATTAGTTTACAAAGGCCAAATTCTGTAATAGTAAAGTTGTGTGTTGCATATAGAATTTTGTGTAGTTACATCAGTATTAAGTAAATTTGTTGGTATGTCAAATTTTAGTTTTCCAGTTACCGGAATGTGAATTCTCACATTTACAAATGCTGAGGTAGGTGTTCGCTGAGGTAGGTGTTCACTTCGGCATACTAATACCAAGGTAGTTTATAAAGATCCTAAAATGAGGCTTAAATAGTATTGAGCACAGTCTTGCTACAGTTAATTGTATACAAATTCTAAGGGGAAAAAAATGATACTGGAATTTGAAAAAAAAAATTGGGACACATGGAGTTGGGTGATTTTGTAGTTTTTATTTTTCGTCTTGTTTTAGGGTTCTGAGGGTGTGTGGAGGCAGTACATCTCAATCCCTGGCCTCACCTTTCACCCCCTGCAATTTTCTTAGCCCTCAGCACATAGAGTTACTTATTTGGTTACCAGAATTCTGTATTCTTTTCAAATTTTTCCTGTCTGATAAGGAAGACTTTATCACACAACTGTTAAAATACTAAAATGTCAGCAGATTGACTCCTACTCATTTCTTGTTTTGTCTGACTCTTTTGCCACAACTGTCAAGGAGAAGGGTAGGCTTTTCCGTTTGCAAATCATAAGACCCTTAAAAAAATCTTTATCGTTTATTTCTAGCCAAAGCCTCCTGATTTCAATATTCCAAAAGGATACTATGAAATAAGCGAACAGCACAAACTACTTTTGTGGGTTTTTAAAAAATTATAAACATATATTTACTTGTGTGCTCAGAAATCTCTAGAAAGATGTGCAGGAAACTGTGGGTACTTTGGACAGTGCGAATCAAATTTTTAAAGAAAGAACCAATGTTCTTTCTTTAGAATTTTTTTTTTTTTACATTTGTCTGCAACACTGTGGTTTAGAATGAGAATTCTCCCCACACACCCACACCCACACACTCGCACACTTCTGTTGGAAGAATAGTTTGCTAAACCTTTGTTTGGGGGAGCATGAGAGGGAGAATCTTCATCTTCAGTTCCCACAGGGTGTACTTGCATAGCAAAGGTGGCTGCAATGTTTTTGGACGCAAGGTTAATTTAACCCGGAAGATGTATTAGACTCACCTAGAGGGCTTTTTAAGCCACAGGTTGCTGAGTTTCTGACTCAGTGGGTCTGGGTTGGGGGCCCAGAATTTGCATTCCTAACTTGTTTCCAAGTAGCACCGGTGCTGCTGGTCTAGGACCTCACTTTGAGAACCTCTGACTTGCAGGTGTTTGTCATTCCCAGGGAAATATGCAAGCTGGGCACAAGAGCTGGGGCTACTTGACTCAGAAGAGGAAAAGGAGAAAGTGTTCTGAAAAGAAAGGTGGAAACAAGGAAACTCAGACGAGGACAGACCTAAGGGACAAGAGCTCTGCCTGCTGGGCGTTTGTTCCAGTGGCTTTGTGGGATTTAAATCCTCCCCACGTCCCTGGGAACTCTTCAACACAATCCGCATTTCCCTCTCATGCTCAGTAGGGAGGATCGCATTGTGAGGATGGAAAAATCCTGAGGCCAAATTCAAGGCCAGAGTGAGACAAGGACAGAGGGTGATTCAGCCACATCTGGGCTACCCTTTTTTTAGTTCTTTCCTGCCTCCTGCCCTGCCTCCCTCTCTCTTTCTCTTTCCTTCCTTCCTTCCTTCTTTCCTTTTTCCTTTCCTTCCTTCCTTCCTTCCTTCCTTCCTTCCTTCCTTCCTTCCTTCCTTCCTCTCTTTCTTTTCTTCTCCTCTCATCTCTCTATTTTTGATTGCCTGTCTGTCTGTATTTCTGTCTTTATTTCTATCCTTGGACTCTAAGGCATCCTCTGTCAGAGATACACAATCTACATTTTTTAGCGTCCTCCAGAAAGTGTACTTATTTGCAATTTTGCATGTTGTACTCAACTAGCACTTTCCAGATAACTGAGAGATGCTAGTCTGTTGCATAAACCTGCAAATGCCAGCCAAAAGGCCTTTGCCCAAGGCCGAAGTTTCTTTGGGTTTCAGGAACTTAGAGTCAGATTTCAGTTCACATGAGAACTTGCCAACTGCGCAGCTCACTTACAAAGAGCTGCCTTGGGCCAGGCAGTTGCTTCTTTCTTAAGATATATTCAGCCTGAAGCCTAAACAGCCCTTTGTTTGAGTCTAAGGCAGGGCTGCATCGTGCAGGATTAGAGGGCCCCAGAGGTTCATTCCTAGTACTGCCCTTACATCTGGACAAGGGGTCCCTCTCCCTTTCTCACACAATTTAGAGGGCCCTGTTCTGTCCCTCCTCAAGCCACATCTCCCATGGGCGGAAGAATCTGTGGAGCCAGAAAGGTGCTCTCACCCAGAACCTTACCCTCCTTCTAGAGCAGGGTTAATAAATTATGAATGGAAAAGGAGCCACATACTAAACCCGACAAGGTGGTGGGAGGTGCGTGCCAGGTCTTACAAACTTGGAGACTAAAAGTAACCACACAGGATGGTCTAAACATAAAAATTCCTAACTAAAGTGGGTCATGAATTGTAGTCACATCCTAAGACTGGAGCTTTCTTGACAAAGGTCTATCTTTCCCATAAGCGAGCCTTTCTATTGTCTTTGTGCATCTAGGACAACACACCTTTGAAATGTCAGTGACTTTCTTTTCCAGAACCCTCAAAGGCACAACCCCTAGCACCAGAGAAAGAGACCACAGAACCCCTCATTGTTATCTGTTGCCCACATGCCATCACTATGTGCCGTAAATATTAACTGTTCTGTACCCGCCAACGTGAAAAGGTGTGTGTCTCTCCGTTTTGCTTTTTATCCAATCCTAGAGATCTCTCCGCCTTGCTTTCTTCCACCCCCTTATTTTACCACCAGTGGGTTTCATGTCACTCTTCTTAGGTCTCCTCCTTTGACTTTCATGTGAAAAATAAGCTGCAAAACTGCCGTTCTTGAGAGTATTTTCTCAATCCGTTGAGATTTTGCTTCCGTGCATGTCCTCAAAATTTGACTCAAATGAACTCTTTTAAGGCTTTTTCTACAGGCTGGACAGTCTTTCATCAAAGCTATTTATTTATTTTTTACTCTCTTCCTACCATTTTGCCCACCTCGTACCCACCACCTCTGGCAAATACCAGTTTGTTCTCTATAAATTTTTTTTTTTTACATTCCATGTATAAGTGATATCGTACATATTTGTCTTTGTCTGACTTATTTCCCTTAGCATAATGCCCTCAAAGTCCATCTATGTTGTCATAACTGACAGGATTTCCTTCTTTTTTTATGGTTGAAGAATATTCTATTATGTGTGTGTCACATTTTCTTTACCTACTTATCTATCAATATGCAACACTGACGTTGCTTCCATGTCTTGGTTATTGTAAATAATGCTACTGTGGACATAGGGATGCATATATTTATTCAAGTTAGTGTTTTTGTTTTCTTTAGATAAATACGCAGAAATGGAATTGCTGGATCATATGGTACTTTTAATTTTGTGAAAAATTAAAATTAAATTAAAATTAAATTTAAATAAGGAAATATGTGATCTCAAGCAAGA